TTATGAAACTGATGCATAGGTAAAGCTGTTCCATAAAAACCCGTCATTAGAATTGCCTATTTATGACACTGATGCTTAGGTAAAACTGAGAGCAAATAAGTTCCATGAAGGGGACAAAAACAGTGTAGAATGGATGCCCGGGGATGAAGTCAGCCTTTGCTTCTGTGAAATTTTGAAGACAAAAAAACAAAAGTATAACTGTTGTGCACAGTTGTGGGCTGCAAGAACCAACACTGTGGAATTGTCTGCAATTCTTGTGTAATCCAGTTGGACTTATTTGCCCTCAGCTTCACCTAAGCATAAGCTTCAGTAAATCCTGTCGAGCTTATTTGTCTCAGTTTCATCTAAGCATAAGCTTCATTGATTTTGCTTTTTTTCCTTTTATTCACAAATTCAGGTTTGTTTTAATTTACTTTTCTTTGTAGTGCCGTGTTGATTTATTTTCCTCTTTACTGCTATCTGCAGTTCTTGCTTCGAACTCCTGACTAGCACATTTCTTTCGCTCCTGTACCTGTCCCCAATCCCTGCCTCCAGAGCTGCATCGGGGCACTCACCACCTCCAACCACTACCACCGTTTATCGTCCTGAACTCCTAACCAGCAACTTCATTCCTTCCCACTATCATGGCCTCAATCGCGCCCTCCGTAACACCCCCAACCACGTCTAATCCTCCCACCTATAACCCCCGGCCACGCGATCCATCTGCCAGACACTGGGCAGCCCTACCCAGCGCGTCTGGCAAAGTTCCAGCGAGCGGCGCTGCGAAATAGTGCTAGCACAGATGCTAGAGCAAAATGCGGGAAGGCCCAAGCATTATAGATCATCAGCCGAGCTGAGCCGATTTTTTGAAATTGCCAGTTTTAGCATATTTTGTTCTGCTTTTGATTATTTTTTCCCTAATGTCAGTGCGTTGAAGGTAGTAAAACATCGGTACGAAAACCTTTCAATTAAGGAAGTTTAAAAGAAACTCCGGTGGCCGACAGGAGATAATAGTGTCCGGCAGTATGCTTATTTTTGGTTGGAAATCTAGTGATTTGTTATGAAGTGGCGAGAAGAGACGTTAGAACTTAGTCGCGATCAGAAATAAATGGCAACGCGCACCAGACTAACCGGTGCGATCTTGCGTTTTGTGCAATTCAGCCCATCGAACGATTGCCTGTTAATGATTTTCACTGCTTCGTACTTTAGTCTATGCAAAAAATAGTTTAAACATTGGC